GGTGGGTCATGGGGAGTGATGGTAAGTGGGGCCCACGCCTGCTTTCACCTTTATGTTCCCAGACCCATATATTCTTTCTTTTGGGGAATCATTTAGATCCTCTGATTTCATGTATATACTGTATCCTGAAGGATGCCATCCCATACTTTCAGAATATTTCTGAGCTAGTACTTCTGCTGTACCTTTAGAAAGGCATTCCAGTGCTCTATGAGGTCAGCTGCTTCTGGATGGTGTGCCATATGATATGACCAGTGGATCCCAAGGTCAGGGGCCCGCTTCTGTACTTCCTTTCTTGTGAAATGGGTCCCCTGATTAGATGCTATGTTGTGTGCAATTCCATGGCTGATGATCAGGCATTTCATAAGCTCCTAGACAGTGGTCCTGTCTGAGACTCTGTGGGCAGGAAAGGACAACCCATGCCCAAAGTAGATCCCTATTCCTATGATGATAAACTGCTGGCTCTTCCAAGATGGAGCTTGCCACCAAATATCTGGCTGGTCTTCTCAAGGAATAGGACCATAATGGGGACTTACATTGGTCTCTGTTGTTGACAGGTTAGGTATTCAATGGTAGCAATAGCTAGGTCAGTCTTGGTAACTGGGAGTGTATGCTCTTAAGCCCGTATGTAGTCTTCATATCTGCCACCATGGCCACTCTATTCACGTGGCCATTGTGCCACTTCCATGTTGCCTAATGTTACCTGGTTGAATCATTTGTCTCCTTGGTTGTTCAGAGTCTCTTTCATGGGGACGCTTTCTGGTGGTTATTAACATGTGATACAAAAATTTTCACATTTTGTGCCCGTGCCCATATGTCCTTCCACATTCCTCTACCCCAGTCCTTTGTATCTCCAGGCGTCTAGTCCTTTCCCTTCGAGGCCCCTTATAAGACAGTTAGACCTTTGGTCACTGTCCAGAAATCATGAATGACCAGACACCTGTTCAGAGCTCTGCTCATTGGGAAGATTTTCCTGTCCTGTCTTTCAAAGTCACCCCTAAATGTGTCCACAATGCAACCACCATCTGTTTTCAGCTTATACCCACATGTAGAGCACACCTATATGTAAATCAAGCTTGGGCCTTTTCCCTGTCCTTCAGCTAGTAATATAGAACCCTCCATATGGCTATAGGTATGAGCTGGGGGAGGGTATGCTGTAATTATTTTGGATGGTATGAATTATCTACCAGTGCAACTTATTTCTGCCTTCTGGCCCCGCTTGATCCCAGATAAACCATTTTCCGTCTTTTGATGGACAGCTGCTGGGCCTGTCTGACTTTATGACTTGGTGGGTATAACTGAATTCAGCTCATAACGGGAAGTTATGGACACATGGTCACCAGGTGCTCCATGCTCAAGCATTTTGTATCGGTCAGGATTCAATTACATGCCAAGAGCTGTTCTTCAAAAGGTGTATAATTTTCTGTTGCCAATGGCTTGACCTTGCTCCAGAATCCTAGGGGACTGCCTTGTGATTCTCCCATGAGGGCTTTTCATAAACTTTACACTGCATCTTTTCCCATCAGCATAAGTTCTGATACCATCAGGTCTGCTGGATTGTATGATCTCAGTGGCAAAACTTTTTGTCTTGCAGCCTGGACCTGCTGCAAAGCTGTGTCTTGCTCCAAGACACATTCAAAGCTGGCAGCTTTCACTATCACCCAGTAAATGAGCTAGAGTAGCATTCCTAGATTTGGAAACTTACTTGCAGAACCCAAAGAGGCCTACCAGGCCTTTAGTTTGGAGGAAATATTCTGGTACTCCCTTGACCACTGGACTCCAAAATACTTCACTCAAGTGGCAAATTCCTGAATTTTACCCTCTTACCGAGACCTCCAGCATGTAGCCACTTACTTGTCTTGTCTAATGAGTATGATGTTCTGTGGGATATCTAGGCAGTCCAAATCTCTTTGGACTATATTATTACAGAGGGCACGAGAGTTTACATTGTTGTTTTTTTTTTTTAAGATTTTATTTATTTGACACACACAGAGAGAGAACAAGCAGGGGGAGTGGCAGGCAGTGGGAGAGGGAGAAGCAGACTCCTCGCTGAGCAGAGGGCCCAATGTGGGGCTTGATCCCAGGACACTGGGATCATGACCTGAACCGAAGGCAGATGCTTAACCAACTGAGCCACCCAGGCACTTCTGAGTTTACATAGTTGTGGGGCAAAAATGTGAATGAATATTGTCAACTCATGTGAATGTGAAGTCTTTCTGATTTTCTTCTCTAATCAGAATAGAAAAGAATGCATTTTCTAAGTCAATGGCTGCATAGTATGTGCTCAAAGGCATATTAATCTGCATTGACAGTGACAGTATATCTGACACAGCAGCTGCAATCAGGGCTACTAAATGGATGAGCTTGTGGTAAGTCTACGGTCATTTTTTAGGAGCCAGCTGGTTTCTGCAGGGGCTAGACTAGTGAATTAAATAGATATTATAGGGACCTCCACAATTTATACTTTGGGTCTCTGCTAGTGACATTAATCTCTGCCATCCTTCCCTTCCCCACTTGGCATAGAGTGATTTTTAATTCGCTATCTTGGCCAGGGGTAGGGGCAGTTTCAGAGGTTTCCACTTGGCCTTCTCCTCTATGATAGCTCTTACCCCATAGACCAAGGAGCCAATGTGGAGTTACTCCAACTACCAAATACATCAGTTCCAATTATACATTTAGGGACTGGAAGGATGACCAATGAGTGAGTCTGTAGACATTGTGGTTCCACTATAAGCATGACTTTGGCAAGGACACCATTTATAATGTGGCCCCCTTAAGTTCCCACTCTAACAGGAGGCCGTGATTATGTTTTGATTCTGGATATGAATATCAACCCAGAACTTGTGTGCGATAGTTGTGAAAATGTCTGGATATTCCCCTTCCCCAGTTGTGCAATTATCCAAGCAAACGGCTATAGGTCCCTTCGGTAGAAGAAACTGGGGAATCGTTACAGGATATATTGTTACAGGGTCTTCCTTCTAGGGATTTGGCCACTTCTTCTGTCAATGTATATAGGCCTGAAAATTGGCTTGAGTCCAGGAACTAAACAAGAGACTGCCCTCAACCTCCTGTTCTTCCATTTTTGCCTTTTCTTGCTTGTAGATCTTAAGAAGCAGTCTTTTCATCTGCTTATTTTGTCCATAGCAATGACATGTTCTGTTTATCTATTTTAAGCTCTATTTCCACAACTTGCTGAGGGTCACGAGTAACCAGTCCCAAATCCTCACCTTACTATCCACTTCTTTAGAGTACTCTTAGTACCCCTTGTATTAGTTCACACCTGCCAAGAAGCTGACGTGAAAATGGGATTAGACATCCAAGAGATTTATTAGTGGAGGGAGAAGGAGAAGGCTTCAGAGTGTAGTGAAGGTCTGACAACTGTGGAAGGTGACAGAGAAGGAAGAAATTGCTAAGAAGAGTCTAGGACTGCAGCATGGTTCCAAGAGAGCTTCCAAGCCGTGATGGAGAGTCCTTGAGCCAATGTCACCTGTTGGAAGAGTCCCCCATCTTACCAGAATGGGCCTTACTAGTACCCCTGCTATAGTCACTTACTGGTTGGGAGCATTCTGTGGGAAGTATGGCCTTGACACCAACACTGTGGTGGATCCAGAGAACAGCAGTGGAGCGGTCAGTTAGTCATGCTGCTTGTAGCCGATTTCAACAATCCATTTTTATGCCTACCATATACACTTGCCCCATTTCCCTGCATTTGATGTTCCCAAAGCTTCTACCTCACATCCTTGTTTGGCTTCCCCCGCATCCCTTTCCTTGTTTCCATCCCATTATTCTGTTTCCAAATCCCCCAACTCTTTCTATCCATTTTTATTACAACTCATTTGGACATATTGCTTGGTTTTTTATTTCATTTCTTCCCAAACATCCCTCTTAAAGTGGTCTTTTCTTTTTCCCTTATCCCCACCTTCATGGATTATAGTTCTCAAGCTAGTGAAAACCAGACACTGCACATTATTTGAGTTCAGGGCTCAGAGCTCAGATTTTCCTGGAATAGAGATCTCGTAGCAAAAGTGAACCGAAAAAATGTTAGTAAAATATCCAGTTTTTCCTATCAGAAACATCCCAGTTACCTTATAGTCCCAGAGATAAGACTATGCTGGAGACAGGAGCAACCAAAAATCAGAAAATTACTTTTTAATAATTTTGATGCTATTTAATAAGGAATATCCTGACATATTAGGTGATCATGTAGGAGAAAACTCTGCCTAATATAAAGGTTACCCAATAAATATTTATCAAATGAATGACTGCCTCATAATGGGATAATGATATCACAGAGAAAATAGTCATGTTCCTCTCCTGACCAACCAATTTCTTTTGGTCACGTAGGAAGTTCAGCTTTTTAATGACTCTATTTTTTGGCTGTTGGAAAGATCCTCTGTCTTCTCTCATGCACTGCTAGAGTCTCCGGATATGAGCATCAGTCAGTCCTATCCGCATGTTCCTGTTGTTTCTAGTCTAGTGTTCTTGCCCCAAGGGAAGAATTTTGGATGGTAGATCCTTTTGCATAGAAAACCAGGGAAGGGTTAAAAATCCTGCTTCTTCCACTAGCGGCTCTCTGGGACCAAGAGGATGTAACCTTCACTCTGCCCTTCAGCATGCTGTGTCTTTTGTATTAAGAATCCTGAAAGGACCGAAGAGTGAGATGTCCTTAACCAATTTCAAGACTTTAATTTTTTTAACCTCTATAAGAGTCTAACCTCTAACCTGATCCCTCCCAGAACTCCCAATGGCTTCTTCAATGTTATTATTATTATTTTTTTAATTTTTAAAAAAGATTTTTATTTACTTATTTGAGAGAGAGAGATAGTGACAGAGATAGCGAGAGAGAGAGTACAAGCAGGGAAGAGAGGGAGAAGCAGGCTCCCCACTCAGGGAGCCTGAGGCGGGACTCGATCCCAGGACCCTGGGATCATGACCTGAGCCAAAGGCAAACCCTTAACCGACTGAGCCACCCAGGTGCCCGGCTTCTTAAATATTATTTAACTTCATTTAATCCACAGGTTGATGTGCCTGACTATTATTCCAGAGGGTGGAGTGGCTGTCACAAGCAATCTCACACATTTTACCTTCTTCCCAGACTCATTAGATAATACCTGCTTATTCAGGGTGCCATTTTCCAGTAGCCCCAGCAGAATATAGTCATCACAGTCATTGACCCTATTAGTAGCATCATAGCCCAGTTCTACTTGTCCCTCTTCCAGCTGATTCTTGTTTTTTAGGTGAGAGCCAGTCAGCACTTGAACTTGGAACACCTTGGCAGGTACATCCAAAACCACAGTCAGATGACTGCCAGCCTCAGCTGATTTGGTATAAAAGAAATTCTTATCCAAGCTGTAGGCATTCATGAGAACAGAGCCATTGGCAACCTTCAGGCTAGTGTAGATGGAAGCAGCAGGGTTGCTGGGAGAACCAGGGTCATTTTCCTCAATCTCTTTATCTTTGAATTTGAATTTGCTGTCAAAGAAGGAGTAATTACCCCTGTGCTGGAAAAGGGAAGGGAAGAATTGGATTGGTGTTGGTTGCATGAAAAGTTCATGAAAATGAGTCAGGAGGTAGTCATAGGGCATTTCTTGGTAGAAGAGGAGAAGGAAGTGAACTAAGCAGGGAAGGTCTCTAGTACGAAAGAGTTTTCCAGTGAAGCCCAGCTGAGAGAAGTTCAGAGTCATCCAACGTTTGTTTTCCCAGGCAGACACTATAGTAGCTATCTGGGTGACAAATCCTGGAGCACATTTCACATCATCTTCGATCATCAGAAAATAGTCAGAGTGGTTGGTAGCAAAGTTCATGAGGAAGGCATAATCCATGGTCTGCTTGGAGTGGAAGGCTTCATAGGCTGGGGTGGTGTGAAAGTTTTTCTTAAGGTCCTTTAAAAGAAGATAGTTTTTAAGAGGTGTATTGATCACTACTAGCTGTCTGGTCTGGATATACGGTTTAAACAGGGTTGAGATGCTGGAGATCATTTGACCAAGCCACTTGGGGTCAGGATCTGCCAGGTGTACCAAGACAATGAAGTGTTTCTGCTCAGATGAGGAGGAAGCAAAGAAGAGAGACTGCAGGGTGTCCAAGAGGTAGCTCCCACTGGGGTGTTGAACTGAGGAAATCCCTATGGTTAGCAGTTCTAGGGTTGGGAGAAAAGAGGACCTTTAACAAGTTAGAGAAGTGAGGAAAATACTTGCTATGGGTGAGGTTATAATACTTTCTTAGGTCTTTCCATATGCAAAATTCATTTGTCCTGTGGTTATTTTACATTTTCTCTCCCCCAGGCCTGGGTATGGACCATATTAGGAGTTAAAAGTATCCGGTCATAAGTTGTGAGTTAAAAAAAAAATATCTTTGAGAAACTACTGTGGGAGAAATAAAGGAGATAAACTAAAAACATTGCATCTATGTCTCCTCCCACCCAAAGTCTCACTGAGAAACCAGGAAGGTTGCCATGAAAAAATCATACTATTTGAAGAATTCCTGGAAGATAGAATATGGAACAGGATTGGTGGAGAAATCTAAGTAGAATTTATAGTCCAAAAGACACACAGAGAAAACAACTGCACAGATGCTCTATACCAAAGCCTCAGAAAAGTTCTAAGTTTGAGCCACAAAATATAGAGGTCTGGGCTCTTGGATGGTCACCTGGATAATTACAGAACTGTTTCCAGAACCACTGAACCAGTGATCACCAAGGAGCTGGTAGTAGCAACACTCACTCCCAGGCTAAAGTCCTAAGGACTTCTGTCTAAATAAAGTGGAAGGTCTGCCAGGCAAAGGCCCAGGGTGTGAATCCTGGGGCTGGAGAGAACATCAGAACTACAGCCAAGAACTCTAGGCAACAGAAGAAGGGGGGAAAGGAGATAACACAGCTGACTATGGCATTTACCTTTAGATTCCCTCAAGTAGACATTCAGAAATGTAATGGCTGCCAGAGTGTCTAAGCAGATAAATGGGTGAAATTCCCTAGATGACTTAGGGTTCTACTAGGAGAGATAGTGGGACACTTCACCCAGAAGATCTGCAACTCACATTTCTTACTTCCTCTATGTGTCACTGCTCCCCCATAATCTAATGAGGCAGGCTTCTGTAATCACAACACACTTCTACAGACAGGCAAAAAAGGAGTTGTTATCTGTAGAGAATTACGCTGTTCATTCTAGATCTTTGAGTATAAATCTGAAACAAGAATCATCAAACATTTGAATCGTCAAACATTGAATATAAATATGAAACAAGAATCACCAACACACAAACAAGACTCAACCAGAAAGAGAACTCCAAAAATATAATAGAGGAAACACTGAAATGAAGAACATCTCAAATATACTATATCAATCCTCAGAGAGATTGAGGAAGAAATCATACTTTTTGGTAAAAGAACAGGCTCATATGAAAAGAAGTTTGTAGAAAATATGGATATGGGGACTTGACCAAGTTCAGCTTAGATTTATCTGGTATGTTCTTCCATCAGAAGGCGCACAATGGCAAATTGTTTCTGTTTTTAGGATGTTAGCAGCCTTTGATGTTCAGTGTCTAGATCCATTAATACTCTAAGGGTTGTAATATGGTGATATTCTAAGGCAAACATTCCTTCTCCATTCATTATCTGGAATGTTTCTATAAAGTGAAAATTCCCCTAATCTCCTCTTTGGTTACTCAGTGGTATAGTTCATATAGGAAAGTGAAATAAGTATTTGATTCTTTCCCTTTATTTACCCACTTTCAAAATAATGGATTGGTTTCCTAGCATTTTCCAATGGTGGCAAAATTGGTTAGTTGGTTTTTTGTTTGTTTGTTTGTTTGTTTTGGTATCCATACGAACTCATGAATTTTATGTTTCAAACCACTGAAATTTTATTGGTGCTTAAATTGTCCTATCTTAGGCAAGTAGCCTCTTGAAGTTGGATCCTGAGCCCATTTAATACAACTTTAGTAATTTTTCTTTTTTAAAAAAGATAGATTGATTGATTGATTGATTGATTGATTGATTTTAGAAGGGAGGAGAGGGAGAGAATCTCAAGCAGACTCCTGGCTGAGCCAGGCTGGACCCGGGGCTCCTTGTGGGGCTCGACATCATGAATTGAGGTGCCCCTCAATTTTAGTTATTTTTGAAAGATTCCTTGCTATCTGGTATGACATTTCCTGCCTTGGACCCGGAATCAGCCACTTTTTTTCCAGGAGGACTGGTTATTTTAGTATAAAATGGTATTACTCATTGCTAGTGGGTCATTTCTAGGCCCTAGTGGACAGAGCTACAAAAAATTTTTTTAAAAGATAAAATACATCGTGGGTTCAGACTGATATTTCAAAATGCATTCAATTCAAAAATACATTTTAAACTTAAAGAAAAAAAGTAGTTTTTCCTTGCTGTGAGTTCATTGTATTTTTAAGACAGACAAGCTTAAACCCTCTTGAACTTATCTTGTTTTATTGACAATAAATAACTTTGCACTGTCCTTTGAATTCTTAAAGTGTTTGAGTCAGTTAATGCTTATTCTGTCACAAGGTTTATTTTTTCTTATCAAATACCATCACAACTTATGGGGATCAGATGTGTACCATAGTTGGACCTCAGAAGGGTACACAATGCCAAAATGAAGCTTGTTCAGCAAAGAGAATCACCAAGTGCTGATTGAGCTGACAGATAAAAGCCACATATTCTCTAGCCATAGACTTCATAACAGATGCTAGCACAGTTACCAGCAATAGGGGAAAGAGGGGTACCATTACTGCAGAAGTCAGTGAGGACCACAGTCGGAGCTAGGCTGGAGCTATACTTTTGAGAGTAATTAGCACATAGATGGTAGTTAAGGCTGTGAGACTAGACGAGGTCACCAAGACAGTGAGTCTAGACAACAACTAGGATACGTCAACATTTAGACATTGGAGAGAGAAGTAAAACAGCAAAAGAGACTGAGGGTCTACTAGTGAAGCGAGGGAAACCAGAAGATTTTGGAATTCTGTAAGCAATTGAAGAATGTTAGAACAGAGTGATCTAGTGTATCAAATGCTGTCATAGGTCCATCTCCTTTCTAGTGCCTTCTGTCTCTACTCTTGTCTGACCTGTCCCAGCATGTTCCATACCCCTTGTGCATACTCACTTTTTTTCATAGGAGGAGCTCCAATCAAGATACGGGAGTTTACATTTTTGAGCAGTTCTAAGTTTTTCTGCAGATTTTTGAAGGTTTCCAAGTGGTTTGTTCTACCAGGGCTGATCTGCATCCGGGCTCTCTGCCAAGCAACCATCTCCTTTTCCTCCTGAGAAAAAGGTAAGTTTCAGCTCTATGATTCAAGCCCTTTGGCAATAATAGTTGAGTGGATTCTCTTTGTATAACACAATGAAATATCTCCAGGATACAGGGCAGGTTGCTCAGGGCTGACTTCATTTTCTTCCTTATTCTCTAAAAAAGTTCTGCACTAGGAATTCTTGTATAGACTGTGGGTCCTGGGGTGAAGGGAATTGGAATTTCTCTAGCTCTCGTGGGTTATATGTAGGAAATGAGACAATGTCAGTCGATGTCATTCTTCACTCACAATCATCCCTTATGACTACAGCCTGATTTGCGTTCCGTGAAGGGTAAGACATATATTAAGTGTGAGAGATACAGGAGAGAAGGTAATTCCACCCCAATGGCCCAATCTAAACTATTTCCTGTTGGTGGCACTTCACTCTTCCGAATTCGTTTACTACTCTCCCTTTTCTTTGTTCTTTCTGGTTTTTAGTGCAATTTTCTCAACTCCTTAGACTTTTTCTTGGCTTAGATAAATGACTTAACTTTTCTGAAATTCAGCAACCTATTGTATAAAACGGGCGGGAGGGGATATGAACTTTGAAACTGAAGGAAATTTTCTAAAATGGGAAACTTACTAAACAAAGAATATTTTATGTCTCATCAATTGCTATTAAAAAAGGACCAGCTTTGCTGAAGTATTAAATAAGTGTTATTTTTTCTCAGCCCTAAATTCTCTCTTCTGGAGTGCCACATCCCTTATTGTCTATATCAAAGACAAATGATTTGTTTAGTCCTCAAACTTCATTATCTTTTTTCTTCTTTGAGTGTCTACAGTGTTAGTGACAATTTCACACAAATAGACACTTAGATAATCTGTTTTTTTTTTTTTTAAGCCAAGGGATTTCAACTTTGCCCCATCCATAGTTTCTGGTACTCACCAAAGATAGGAAACTTGTAGTATCAAAGGGATTTTCTCTAATGAAAAAGAAGACTGGGAACACCATTGCTGTTGCAATAACGATGAATATCCATAGGAAATCTTTCATGGTGTTGGGGTTGGGAGCTTTTAGAGTTGTTTGTCAGTCTGTGATCCTTGGATGTATATTCAGATGTCTGCAATTTATACAGTATTGAGAAAAGTTTTCATTTGACAGTAATATTTTTTTCATGAATCAAGGAAGTTTACAGTATACAGTTTACTTGTATAAGTAGCATTCTTTTATTAAAAAGACTTTTTAAAAGAGCAGTTTTAGGTTCACAGCTAAATTGAGAGGACAGTACAGAGATTTTCTATATACCTCCCACTCCTACACATGCATAGCCTTCCCTATGATCAACACCACTCACCAGAGTGGTGTATTTGTACAACTGATAAACCTACATTAACACAGCTTTATCACACAAAGCCCATAGTTTACATTATGGTTCAGTCTTTGTGGTGTATTGTATGGGTTTGGACAAATGTATAAATGACATGTATCCATTATTATGATATCTTATAGCATATTTTCACTGCCCTAAAGATCCTCAGTGCTCTGCCTATTCATCCCTCCCTTTCTCCTAATCCCTGGAAACCACTGATCTTTTTACGTTCTCCACAGTTTTGTCTTTCCCAGAGTGTCATATAGTTGGAATCACATAGTGACTAGCCTTCTCATATTGGCTTCTTTCATTTAGTAAGATGCATGTAAGGTATTTCAGAGTCTTTTCATGATTTTATAGCTTATCCCCTTTTAGCACTGAATAATATTCTATTGTCTGGCTGTACCACAGTTTATTTATCTATCCATTCACCTACCAAAGGGCATCTTGGTTGCTTCCAAGTTTGGGCAATTATGAATAAAGTTGCTAGAAATATCCATGTGCAGGTTTTTGTGCAGACATGTTTTCACCCCTGGGTAAATACCAAGGAACTCAATTTCTGAATTATATGTTAAGAGTAGTTTAGTTTTGGGATGCCTGGGTAGCTCAGATGGTTAAGTGTCTGCCTTTGGCTCAGGTCATGATCCCAGGGTCCTGGGATGGAGTCCCACATCGGGCTTCTTGCTCAGCGGGGAGCCTGCTTCTCTCTCTGCCTGCAGCTCCCCCTGCTTGTGCTCGCTTTCTCTCTCTCTCTCACACAAATAAATAAATAAATAAAATCTTAAAAAAAAGAGAGTCTTCCATAAGTTGCTGTACCATTTTGCATCCCCATGACAATGTATCAGAGTTCCTGTTGATCCAAATCCTCACCAGTATTTGGTGTTGTCGGTGTTCTGGATTTTGACCGTTCTAATAGGTTTGTGGTGATATTTCTCATTGTTGTTTTAATTTTCATTTCCATGATGGCATATGATGTGCAACATCTTTTCATATGCTTTTCTCCATTTGTATCTTCTTTGGTTAAGTGTCTGTTAAGGTCTCTGGTTCTTTTTTTTTAAGATTTTATTTATTTATTTGACAGAGAGTGAGCAAGATCCTGGGATCATGACCTGAGCTGAAAGCAGACACTTAACTGACTGAGCCACCCAGGTGCCCCTTTTGGTTCATTTTTTAATTGGGCTGCTTGTTTTCCTATTGGATTTTTTAAAAAAATTATTTATTATTTTTTAAAAGATTTTATATATTTATTTAAGAGAGAGAGCACTCACGTGCTCGTGAGTGGGATGGGAGGAGCAGAGGGAGACGGGCAAGCAGACTCCCTTCTGAGTGCAGAGCCCTACTTAGGGCTCTATCCTACGACCCTGAGATCATGATCTGAACCCAAATCAAGAGGCAGATGCTCAACCGACTGAGCCACCCAGGTGCCCCTATTTTCCTACTGAGTTTTAAGAGTTCTTTGTATATTTTGGATAACAGTCCTTTATCAGATGTGTCTTTTGCAAATATTTTCTTGCAGTCTGTGGCTTGTCTTCTAATTCTCTTGATACTGTTTTGTGTACGGCAGAGGTTTTAAATTTTAATGAAGTCCAGGTTATCAATTATTTCATATGTCATGCGTTTGGTATTATATCTAAAAAGTCAACGTCATACCCAAGGTCATCTAAGTATTCTCACATGTTATCTTCAGTCCTTCAACTTTGTTCTTCTTAAATATTGCATTGGCTATTCTGGGTCGCTTGCCTCTTCCTATAAGCTTTTAAATCAGTTTCAATATCCATAAAATAACTTGCTGAGATTTTGACTGGGATTGTATTGAATCTATATATCAAATTGGGAAGAATGGTTACCTTGACAACATTGAGTCTTCCTATCCATGATCATGAACTCTTCATTTATTTAGTTCTTCTTTGATTTTTTCAAAGTTTTGTAGTTTTCCTTATATAGATCTTGCACATATTTTGTTAGATTTATATCTAAGTATTTCATTTTGGAGAGGAGCTAATGTAAATGATATAGTGTTTTTAATTTTAAATTCCACTTGTTCATTACTGGTATATAGAAAAGTGATTGACTTTTATATATTAACCTTGTGTCCTGCAACCTTGTTAAAATTGCTTATTAGTTCCAGGAGGCTTTTTTATTAATTCTTTTGGATTTGTTAAATAAATGATCATGTCATTTGCAAACAAAGACAGTTGTGTTTCTTCCCTCCCAATTTGTATACTTTCCTTTCCATTTATTTATTTATTTGCCTTATTGCTTTAGTAAGGACTTCCAGTACAATGTTGAAGAGGAGTGGTAAAAAGGGATATCCTTGGCTTGTATCTGATCTTAGTGGGAAAGCTTTGAGTTTCTTACCATTTAATATGATGTTAACTGTAGGTTTTTGGTAAATAGTTTTTATTAAGTTGAGAAAGTTCCCCTCTATTCTTAGTTTATTGAGAGATTTTAATCATGAATGGTGTTGGATTTTGTCAAAAGCTTTTTCTGCTTCTGATAACCTTTTTAAATCTGTTGATGTGATGGATTACATTAGTTGATTTTATATGTTAAACCAGCTTTGTATGCCTGGGGTAAATCCTACTTGGTCATGGTGTATAATTCTTTTTTACATTGTTGGATTCAACTTGCTATTTTTGTTGAGGATTTTTGCATCTAAGTTCATGAGAGATATTTTGTTTTCATGTGTTTTCTTTGATTTTGGTATCCGCATAGTATCAACCTCATAATTTGAGTTGAGAAATGTTCCCTCTTCTATTTTCTGGAAGAAATTGTGTAGAATTTGTTTTAATTACTTAAATGTTAGGTAGAATTCTCCAGCAAACCCACCTGGTGGGTTTTTGTTTTGGAAGGTTATTAGTTATTAATTCAATTTAATAGATATAGGCTTTTCAGATCATCTATTCCTTCTTGTGTGAGGTTTGTCAGATTGTGTCTTTCAAGGAATTAGTTTATTTCATCTAGGTTATCAAATTTGTGGGCATAGAGATAGTGTTAATATCCTTTTATTATCCTTTTGCTTTCCATGGGATCTGTGGTGATATCCTTTCATTTCTGTTATTAGTAATTTGTGTCCTTTCTCTTTTTTTTCTTAGTTACCCTGTCTAGGGGCTTATTGATTTTGCTGATCTTTTCAAAGAACCAGCTTTTGGTTTCATGCTATTGATTTCCTGTTTTCCATTTCATTGATTTCTGCTCTAATTCTTATTATTTCTTCTGCTTACTTTGGATTTAATTTGCTCTTCTTTTTCTAATTTCCCAAGGTGGAAACTTAGATTATTGATTCTAGGTCTTTCTTCTTTTCTAATATATGCATTCAATGCTATAAATTTTCCTTTAAGCACTGTTTTCACTGCATCCCACAAAATTTGACAAGTTGTGTTTTCATTTTCATTTAGTTCAAACTATTTTAAGCTTTCTTCTTGTTCTTCTTTTTGGTGGGCAGCAAAGCAGGGTTTATTGAGCGATAGCAAAGTGATAGTACAAAACTCCCAAAGAGGGAGGGGACCTGAGGGGGTTGCCCTTAAGATTTCTGCTTTGACCCATGTGTTATTCAGAAGTGTTTCCTTGGTTGAAGCTCCACGTATTTGGGATTTTCCAGTTATCTTTCTGTTTTGATTTCTAGTT